TAAAATTAAATAGTCAACATATGCAACAATTAAGTCCTTACCATATCTGAGTAATAAATTTCTAACCATATTTGAAAAATTATGTTCTCACCATATTAAAAAAAATTAAGTTATAGCCTTAATTCACGTTTATAGTATATTTCATCCTTAATGCATAATAAAAGTAAGTCATAAAAGGCATGTTATTAATATATATTATGTACATACCTTTGATTATGTATGTGTCTATATCTACATGTTGTCCTATATACCTATATGCTATCCTACATACTTAATAAGTCAAGGAACACCTACAAATTAGCAATTAAGTATGGTTCCATTATTAAGTCATATCAAATCACTAAAGTAGGACATATAAATTAATTCTTCCTAAAAAAATCTTAATAAATTTTATATGGGTCTTAGGAACCTATTGGTAGCATCTGAACGAACATCAAATCCAAAATAGAAAATTCATAGGTCATGACCAAATAGAAAAATAATGATCGTGTCTTTACATGCTTGAAAACCTTACACGGGCCTGCAAATCTACAATCCCTCTTATTACGAGTCAAAGCTCCAAAATGACCACTCTTCTCATATAATTAGATCCTAACATTTAGTGAATGAATTTTGATGATCTAAGAACAATGTAATGTGTTAAACAATGTTCTAACACCTAATTCACATCCTAACAATAATCGAATTCGAATTCATCATTGAATTTAATGATTCAACTCCATGTTCACTATTTTAATCTCAAATATCTCCAAATTGACCAATTACGGTGGTTTTTCTTCGTTTAAATGGGCATAAGGAATTAGAATATATGTCCTAACACCTTAATAATACTAGTTTTCATTATAATTTTGTTTATAAGATATGAAGGATGAATCTCCATTGAAGAACATCACAAATTCAAACTTAGCACTTATAATGAAATATGTATACCTTATATGACCTTTTTTCATGGAATTGATGAATGATCTTGAAATACCCATCGTATGGGATATTTGAAATAGTATTTTAAAATAAGTTTTAACATAAAATTATAGATAAAAATCATTTAAGAAGACACATTATGGAAAATGTTCCCAAATGGGAAAGTTCTTAACATTAAAATGTATAAATTGTTAAGGCATGTGATGGAAAAGCTCTCAACATTAAAAATATATAAAATTACTACGCTTTGTAAAGTACATAACCTTACTTGAATTTTAAATCTTATTTATTACATCATCTAAATTTTCCAAAAAATCCATCTTAGGTCTTTAACTAAGTCCTCCGAAATAAATTCATGTCAAGATACATAGGTTAGGCGTGGAAAGATTAGTAAACATTGTCTCAATCAACTTTTAAGGGTATTGGATAATTCAACAATCCAATGGCAAAGTCAAACCCTAAAATATTTTCAAAACTTAAATAATAGTAAGTACGCATCAAATTTGGGAAAGAAACATTTTAAATGCATTCATTCCTAAAACATCATCATAACTCATTAATATCAAAATGATGAAATGCAACATGCTTCTACTTCTCAAATCCCAATTTAATCTCAAATAACAAAAACCTCACCAAATTTTAATGGGAGTAGCTTATGTAACGTTAACACATAGCACACTTAAACCTTAAGGGATCAACCACTAGGACCAGGTACCCATATCACATGATCCACATAAGGGGTAGCAAATATCTCATGTGAATATGGGCATATAGGCGACACAATAGTAAAACACCAATTTAGGGTACCAGATATCTCATGAAAATGATAAACCTCAAATGACCCATAGCTTGAATGCACCATGAATCACATGTAGTAAAAAAAATTCATCTTATTATAACATGAAATAAACACAACACTCGTTCTAACACTAAATCAATCACCTTTAAACAATAATAAGAATGTACTTCAAAGTATGATGTTGTATAGTCGAAAACTTTTGCACCACGTTCTAGTAAAAACTAGGTTTCAGCAGCAATGTTGCACATGCGTGTTGTTTGATATAAATATGTTTAAAATCATAAATGTAGCATGTATGGAAAAATTATTATTTGAAAGTGCACTTGGTTGCAAATAGTGGGCTTTATACATTAGGTGTTGACTATACTATGGTATTTTTCCTAATTGTAAAACCAACTACCATTCTTCTCTTTCTTTAAGTTGCAAACTTTAATGGAAGGGTTATCCGATGAATGACATTTATGATGAATTAATATATGGTGATCTCTTCAAGTCATTTTATGTGACTCAACTATAAGGATTTGAAGCTCATGATCGACCTGATCGTGTATGCTTACTTAAATACTTTATATAGTTTTAAGAAATCTCTACGAGTTTGGTTTTCTAAGTTCTCTTATTCTTTATTGTTACTTTTATTTAATGCATATATAACACATCATTATGTTCATTTTATGTTGATGAAGTGTTGATTACCAGTAGTTTGACCACTTGTGTTAAATTTATTCAGACATACATTCTCAATTTGTGCTCATCGATATCTAACAATTGAGTTTTTTTGGAGTTTAGGAATCATACTATTCTACTGGGTTATATCTCATCCAAAAAAAAAAAAAACTATCATATCCATGACTTACTTGTGTATGTTAGTCTTCTTCGTGTAAGCCTCTTTCCACTCTAGTTTCTCCGATCAGCCAAATATTTATATTTCATGGTATTCTTCTTATAGATCCTCAGTTATATTAAAGCACCATTAGAGCCTTGAAGTATTATTAAAAATTGGCATCCAAATCTACTACTATATTATAGTATATGGCTCTCACTAGACCATAATTCACATGGATCAACAGTTGGTATCAATCAAGTACATTTTGATGCATTAAAAAAGAATTATTAATCATATGTAGTTCCATCCATTGTTATTTTAGTTTTATAGTATGTGTAATTTGGTGAGTTGTAGTTTTAACAAGCTTTTATTGTTTGTAGATCTAGTATCGAGGGCGAGAATCAAGAATTGTCATCCAAATCTAATACTATATTGGTTAAATTCCCATACTCATGAGATGCGCATGTCAAATTCTATTACATTCAATCTATAGTATGATATGTTTATCTTCCAGTATAATTTTTCATCAGTGCATCAAGCGTACTGAGAGGAACATGCACTTTATTTAGGATATGGTTATGCCAAGATCTCTATCTCTTTGATATAGCTCTATATTGGATCAACTATCTAATATCTTGACAAATGATCTTTCTGCTCCACGATCTTAGTACTTATACTCCAATATATACATTACTACTAATGTTTCTCTTTGGAGGATGTATACATGTAATCAAAGTAATCAACCATTTGACCAGTTAACTGACATTTCTCTTAGCATTTACTAACTTACCCTATTTATATACTTAGTTGATGTTCATTTGTTAACAGATAAAACAAATTCTTCACATTCTCTCTCAATAAATATCTCTATATAGATTTACTATCCCTATCTAGAGTCATATTATAAAATCATATTATGCACGATTACATTAATTTAAACCCAAAACATGCTAAAGCACCAACTTATCAAAACCTCCCCTTCCAATCCTCTGCTTCATCTGGCCCATCCCATTTTGAACATCTTTTTGCGAGATATATATCTTCTCCATCCATTCTTCTCATTTTCTGTATTGCAACCCACCCCTAAAACACCATGAAATCCCAAAACCATGTGATGATCTTGCCTAAACCTCACTGATCGGGTGTCCACTAATATGTTCTCTATACCTCATTTCTATATACATTTCAAGTTCTTAGATCCATGTTATGCCCCTTAGCGGTGGCTCATGAAGGAACATGACAATGAAAGAAGATCATACATAATTAACACCTTGCAAATCAAAAAATTTCACCCTAGTGGCAATTCTAACGTAAAGACATTCATTTATCATAAAATCGATTGATATGATACGATAATACAAATGTAAGAAACATGTAAAATTCATATCAAAGTGTTTAAAGATTATAAGTATATTTAATATTTAAGTATGGTTTGATGTCTTCGCATTTATCATTTTCCTTTAACATTTTTCGAAAATTTGGTATTTTAAATCGAAAATAGTGTTTGAATGTTAGTAGCATTTAAATAAAACCATAAACTGTTTATATAGTTATATAAATGTTTGGTATAGTTTTATCTTTAAATTGAGATCTATTATTGAAAAGTATATATATATATATATATATATATATATATATATATATATATATATATATATATATATATATATATATATATATACACACATACTAGTTTATAACCCATGGAGACAACGGTTATAAAATTAATTAAATTTTAATAGTAAAAAATCAAAATTATTAATCACTTATTTTAAATAAATTATTAATTAACAGATTTTTTTAGTTATATAAAATTATTATTATTGATTTAAATAAATATGTAAAATTATATCACTTTATAATTTGTATTAATTTTATTTTAATTTTAAATCTAATATTATTTATTTAATATAGTTAGAGTGAGAAATTTAAAATTTAAAATTTAAAATGGAGAATTAGTAGGTTGACAAGTGACATTCATTAATTAGGAGACATAATAGAGTGACACATGATAAAAATAATATATGTATTAATTATAAGGGCTAATATGGTGACACATGTTAAAATGAAAATAAAACTATTTTTTTATTAGAATATATATATATATATATATATATATTATGATTAAATATTAAATCTTTTAAGAATTTCTTGATATATTTGTGATATACTAATACGATTAGTCGATTACAATATTTACGTTACAATTATTCTAATACATAGTTTGTTAGATCTCTTTTTGTCATTTTCTTTTAAAGAATTCAATGTATAGACACCAAAATAATCCCGCCTCAGATTATGTTTTTAAAATTAATTTCATAAGGAAAAAAGATTAATGCTGTTGAACTATTCACGTTTCTTACACTATATATACCAGCTCAAAAGAGGTTCATTTCACACCATACTCGTCTTCTCTTTCTCTTTATCTGTAAGGTTTTCGTGCATGAAAGCTTCGAGATGACGCAGGAGAACAAATCAGAAGGATCTGAAGGTCCAAATCCACTTTCCGGGAAGCGTGATGGTGCTGATGGAGAAGATATGACACCTTTTAAGAAAAGGGTTCGATTTTTGTCCTCAGATGATCTCACGGAAGTGACCAATGATAAGACGGAAAGCTTTGGTGCTAATCATGATGATGGGACAGTTTCTTCTACGTCTGACCTCACAGAAGCCGGAGAGGAAAATAAAAAGGAGATCATTCCGACCCAGAAGATATCGGCATGCACAACTTGCAACGAGGAAATAATTTCTGCATCTCTGTCGCAACGGGCAATAAGGTCTGTATGATTTAAGTGCTTTAGTGTGTGCATGTGAGTATTTTAAGTTAATTTGTGGGTATATATGTGTACAGTTTAAATCCACAAGGGTGACATTCTACTATCTGTTGCAATAAATAATAAGGTTTAGTTTCAGATTTACATTTTATCGTTATTTTTCTAAAAAAAAAATGTACCTTTTCCAATCAGAATTCTATAAAATAAAAATAGGGTTTAATGAATGGGTTTTGATTTTGATATGGTGTGCAGTGAATCGGGAGATACTGGAAACGAGCATGGAGGTGATGGTGCTGAAAAACATGAAGAAGAAAGTGAAGAGTTGATAGAACATACCGCTGCAGTTGGTGGTAGTGGCAGTTGCTCACAGACTGGAACGACTGTTTCTGGGACTACTACTGGCCAAGATATTGAAGTTGGTCGCCTAGAAGAAATTAAAGAGGCTATAATGAATGATGGATCCAATGGAAGCAGTGCCCCACGTAGAGAAGAGCAAAGCAAAGGAGACATATTCTACAGGCGGAGAAGAGCGAAGCAAAGCAGTTCACGGGACAAAAAACCAGTACAGGACAAATTGACACCTGAAGGAGAGAGTGACAATAGTGGCGATGGGCTGCAGGATGTTGTTATTGAAGAAAACCATATTCAAATAACTGAAGGAGGTACGAAGCGTAGGGTTGATACATGTAGCGAAGATGAGCGCCATGAAGAAGTTCAAAATGCTGCAACAGAAGTTGGTGAAATGAGTCATGATGATGGTGGTGAACGAGGGAAAGACAAAATGGTACCTGAGGGTGAAGATGATTGCAGTGGCGATGCACCTGATGTTTTTGGTGACGATGAACATATTCCAAAAGTTGGAGAGACAAAGCAGGAGGATAGTGGTGTCGCTCGCTCACCTACAGGTCCGCCTATTGAATGTGAAGCTGATGATCATATTGACCAAGCTCTAGAAGTTGCAGTGAAAGATGGGCACGATGAAAACAGTGCACCAATTAGTGGAGAAGACCCCAGCAAAGTAGACAATAAACTACTGGAGGAGGATGAATCCGAAATGATTGATGATGCATTTGGCAAAGAGGAAACTAATACCATAATTGAGGATAACAATGGTGGAAATGGTGAAGGTGATAGTGAACAACAGGGAATACATTCTGCAATGGAAAACGATGGCGTAGGCAACAATAACAACAGTAGCGCACCTGAAGGCGAAAAACCAATGGAAGGAGGAGAAAAACCATTGGACTATGTCGTATCCACATTGATCATTCATGATGGTGGTCATGGTTGTAGTGATAATATACTTGGCGATGGAAAACAAGCACAAGAACCTGAACTTGTAACAAAGCATGGTGATGGCAGCAGTCGCTCATACGCTGATACTAAAGCTGGAAGCGGGGAAGGTGATGGCCATGAACAAGTCCAGCTGGCTGCAATGGAAGATGGTGGCAATGAAAACATTAGCAACAGTGAAGCTGGAGTAGAAGAGCAAAGCAATAAATGCAAAGAACCGGTGGAAGCTGATCACCATGAACAAGAACAACAGCAGACTGCAATTGAAGATGATGGTAACGAAAATGTAGCCGATGTTGTTGTATCTGGAGAAGAAGTGCAAGACAAAAAGGGAAAAAAGCCTATGGAGTATGCTCCATCCGGAAATGATCCAGAAAGTGGGCCTGATGTTGGTAACAAAGGACAACTTGATCATCAAGGAACAAATCCTGATGCTAATGATGGCAGTGGGCCATCCACTTTTGTTGTTAGCAGTGAAGGCGATCATAATAACCAGATACAACAGGCTGCAATATTCGAAGATCCTGATACTGAAATAGTCAACATGAATGCAAATGCTAATAGCACTGGGTATATGGCGATTCAAGGTGACATGCAAACACAACAAGATCCAACGACAACCATAGATTTAAGGAAGCGAACACGAAGCATCCATGAACAGGGTGAGGCATCACACAATGTAGGTGGTGATGATAAACCTGGGCAAGAAGCAAGAAAAAAGTGTAAATTTGGTGGTGACAGCGGAAGCACCTCCGCCAATGGTGCTGTTGGTTATAATGAACCACCAACGCAGCAGGCTAATCGTTCATTTCTGTTGTTTGGTGCACCCATTCCTCGTGAACAAGAACCTGATGTTGCAATAAACACCAACGATGGTCTGGAAAGTGGCAGTGATCACGCAGCAGGTGGTAAGTTTGCCAACGGTTCACCACCAACGCAGCAGCCTACAAAGGGTATCCAGCTATTTGGTGTTTACATAACTGAAGAACAGGTACAACCAGTTGCAAGGAGAGGTATCCAACTATTTGGTGCTTACATGATCACTGGACAACCGTCAGTTGGAATGCAAAACGGAGATCGAGGAAAGAGTCATGCCGGTGGGGAGTCATCAATGCAGCGGCCTAAATCTGGACTGCGTTTGTTTGGATTTGATATTTAGTCTTGATTTAGAGGAATTAGCTTTTTTCATAATCTTTACTAGTGTTTGTTGGGTTTTCGTGGTTGTAGAATTAATAAACTATATGAAATTTAAGACACCCAGATATATTCTCATCAATTCTCATACAATTAGCCAGCCACATTTCCTTCATAAAAGGGAAGCCAATTGGTCAATATAAATATGAAACTCTTCAATATTGGTAAGATCTTTATAATCATTATGAAAATTAAGACACGATGATACATTCTCGAGATCTCAACACTAACCCTAATCGATGGCCATTAACAAGCGGGGAAGGTGATGGCGGTCTTTAATCGGTTTTCGTCTCATCCTATACTGCCTTACCCTAATCCATTTTTAAACTTGTGACTTTCTTGTATATGTCATAATCGATTTTTACCCCGTAAACATGCATTCATTATCAATTTCTTCCTCAAATCGGCAATCAGGTTATAATCGATTTCTCTACACGTCTTCAATACAGTATTATCTTCTGTTGCTAGATCATGTGATACGAGTTTTTCCTTATCTCAAGTTAAAATGATAGCAGTATTGGCTCAAGTTGATTATGATGATGCATTAGATGCTTTACAAAGCAAGAGACAAGTTGATTGTTTTAGATGAGAGGGAGATTGGATTCATCCATAATTCATGGGATTTCATTGTAGACCGAACTCTTTTAGAGTTTAGGGTCAGTGTCCATTTGTTGATGTGTGTGTCATGGATCTTGTTTCGAATGGCACACGATGTTCGCATTGCGTACTTTTAGAGGTTTTTAGTTTTGAGCTAGGGCCATGAGATCCTATCACTTGTTCATTAAAGAAAATCAAATTGAATATTGTCTTGTTTGTTTGTATTTTGGCACATTTGATTACGTAAGCTACTTTGGCGTATATGATCTTGTAAGGTATTTCGGCCGCTAGGCAATTTTTTGTCGAAACACATGTACTGTACAATGTGACAAAGTTCTAGTACCATTAAGAATTTTGCCATTTAAGGAGTGTAAATTAGCCACATGTTTTCATGACTTTTGCAGACTATGTATAAGAGAAAATGAGTTTTGAAAAATTAAACGAACAGTTGATACACACACTGTCCTTTTCCTTTAAGAAAAGATGGTGTAAGCAAATTCATTTCTTTCTTGAATGCACATGGAGAAAACAAAAAATGATTGTTCGAGTTTCGATTTGGTTTTTTCATTCTTTGATTGGTGGTTTCAAATTCCAAGGACAGGTAGAACGAAGGAGCAAAGCATCAAGGAATTAATAGAAAAGAATCAGTGTTTTTACATAGAGGCGCAGGGCGCCCAGGCCTTTGGGTTGATGCTGTTTTCTAGGGTTTTGGGCCTATTTAAGGGGGACAAACCCCTAGGGTTTTGTCATTCACAGCCACTATCACCCTTTAAATATTCCTTAAGAAACCCTAGCCTCCATTGAAGAGTTTTGAGTTCATCATCTCTCCGAAAGTCCATTTTGGTGTTGTTTTAATGCTCTAGAGTGAAGGAAACAAGAAAGATTGATCAAGGGAGCTTTGCAGTTGAAGTAATCAGCCTTCTTATCGCTTCTGGACCCTTGTAAGTTCAAAAGATCCAAGCTTTAATTCATTTTATCCATAGATTGTAACATCCATAAAAATCATGCCAAATTTAAACTTTTTAAAACATTTAGAAACCAGTAGTTATTACAAATTTGTTTTCAAAACAGTTCTATATCATAGTATCCCAGAAACATAATCATAAAATGTGAGGAGCTATACGATCACGCCTTTGCCTTCCCGCGATCATCTGAGGTACCTAAAACCAAAACTAAAATTGTAAGCCCGAAGCTTAGTGAGTTCCCCCAAAATACCCATACACACAACAGCGTATACATAAACACAAACAACATACTATGGGTCCAATCAACCATCGGTTTGGAATACCCCAGGCCCTCAACCATCGGGTTGGAATACCAACATACTATAGGTCCAGTCATCCTCGGGATGGAATACCCCAGGCCCACAACCATCAGGTTGGAATGCCCTCATACGACGAATCCAATCATCCTCGGAATGGAATACTCACGGCCCACAATCATCGGGTTGGAATGACCAGGTCTGTTGGCTCTCGCACAAAGCAGATGAGCCTCAACCACCAATCAAACATGTGCACATATATCAAATAACCACATAGCAGTCTACAGACAAACCATCCGAGCTAACAGATCATACTAGCATAACATCATCCTACCTATTCGAATATTGATCTAACAGATCATAGCAACATAATACCATCCTATCTACCAGGATGCTAATCTAACAACTCATACTAGCACAATATATCAGGATAACAATCCAAAAGGGCCGACCTTGGTGCCTTAGACCCTTGAGCATAATGAGGAAAACTCACCTCACAACTGTCGAACTGAAGTGACAAGCTCAAACTCTCGAACCACATCCACGAACTCCACCACCTATATTTACCATAAGACGATTTCCATAAATTTCCAAGTTACCAAAATACCCCCAGATGTCAACTAGTCAACCCTTGGTCAAAGTTAAAGTCAACGGTCAAAGTCAACAGTCCATGTTGACCCAACTCGTCGAGTGCAGCTAGCAACTCGTCGAGTTCCTTAAGGGTTCAGAAGGTCATAAACCCTCACTGACTCGCCGAGTTTCCGACCAACTCGTCGAGTCTATGCATGTCCAAAAGTCAGGGAAAACCCTAACTAACTCGTCGAGTCCTCTACTGACTCGCCGAGTCCATGCAGAAACCAAACAACGAGAAAACCCTTCCCAACTCGTCGAGTTCCTTATCTGACTCGTCGAGTTCATACAGTTCATTTCTTGTCCAGATGATTTTGAGCCATTCCAAAGCTCCAAATGGTAGATCTAGCTTCCTAAGGCATTCTTATCACGTAAAGTTGCAAACTTTACGTGCATGCAAGGCTCTAAAGGCTTAGAATACCAAACTCAAGCTTAAAATGGAGTTTAACTCAAAGGGAATAGCTCAAACTTGCTAAAGCTGGAAAATTTTTAGTTATAGACACCAAGATAAGTTCAGATCTGAAGTTGCAACTTCAAATCCTAGCCCATACCCGAAAATGGTTCACATACATGCTAGAAAGGCCCTAATCTTAAACATGAAGAGATCTAGAAGGAGGAAAGTCAAGGTAACGACTTGTTACCTTCAAGTGATGCTAAAATGGAGTAGGGTTCAGATCCTCAACTGTTCCTTGCTCAAAGCTTCTTGATCTTCAAGCTCCTTTCACCAAGATCCACCTTCCAAGCTTAAAAACACACAAATATGGAGAAAAGACGTGATTTAGGGTTTCTGGGCTCAAAGGGGGTTGTAAGGGAGGCTAATGACCCTTTAAATAGGGTGCAAAACCCCGGAAATTAAGGTTTCATCCTCCAGCTCCAACTCGTCGAGTTGGTCACTTAAAACACGCGACCAAATCTGTGCTTACTCGACGAGTCACGACATCCAACTCGTCGAGTCGACCTTTCAAATGGAAATATAAGAATGAAAAGTTTATACCTGAGAGTCGGGTGTTACATAGATTTAGGAGTTGGTTGAGTTTTTGGTCCATTTTAGTGAGTTTTGGTTCCTTTGAGACTTGTTTCATGAAGTTTGAAGAAATTCAGAGCTTTTGATTCATGTTTGGTTCCAGCTCTAATTAATTGGAGGAGTAAAGAGTGCATGTAAGAGATCTATTTGATCCATTCATGACTGATGTGAGTGAAATGCACTGGTTTTAATCCTACTTTTGAGTTATAAATTAAGCACACAAAGGCAGTGAACCTGTCTTTTGGTGGTATAGTTGGGTAAGTAGAGTGTCGAACTCAGGGAACGGTAAATTAAAACTAAAGACTAATTTTATCTAAATTAAATAGTAAATATGGGTTTTCTCTAGTTTTACAAGACTAGAAACTTACTAATACTACTTAGGCTAAGAACTAGAAAAACAAAGATTTAACTGAATTTAATAATAAAAGGGACTTCTGTTTAGTTCAACTCAATTGATCCTATGGTTGATATTATGGTAATAGTGCAATGGACTAATTCTTCTATTGGCTACCGATTCAAGTGATTAGCCTTGCATTCGCTACGATAATCCTTAGAAAACAAACTAACTCAAACAGTGATCAATTGTCTAATTTAATTTAATTCACTAGATTATTTATTCGGGTTAATTTAGACTTATAATAGCTAACTAAATTGGTCCTTTAGTTAACCTCTTGCTGATGGTCATCAAACAAGCTCACACATGAATTTACCTAATTTTTCTTATTAATTCTAGTTTCGCGTTCGTTAGTCCTAGACATATGATAAAGTGGTCACATAAACATATGGGGTTGATAATTAAAAGTTGTTCATACTATTTAATTATCTTCCTATTAACAGAAAATTAGTTATCATTCACACACAAGGTTCTTTAACAAGCTAAAATTAACAAAATCACCAATATTTAATTAATCCTACCATTAATCAAACCATAATATCAATTTTGTATCCCCAAACAGAAGTTTAAGAGTTTTAGCTCATGATTGAGGTAATTAACAGCAATAAAACGAATTCTAATTGTCTAACCATAATTGAGAAACAATAGATTAAGTAGAACGATGAGAATGTGCCTCAAATCTTCTTCGGAATTGGATTCTAGGTTGTATCTTCGTTCTCTAGGGTTCTTCTGGCTCTCCAATCGCAGCTTGCTTCTCCCCAAAGGTTCCAGTAGTCCTTCAATCGGATTAAGACCCGCTATTTATAATTATCACAAAACAGGGGCTACTCGGCGAGTAGGTCGTGGACTCGCCGAGTACTAGTGTGAAATCCGTGTTCGGTAAGGAATCTTGACTTTTCTTTCGGGAACATTCTAATGAACTCGCCGAGTACATGCGTGGACTCGCCGAGTAGGTGTGTAGTTTTCCCTTTTTCTTCATTCTTTGGTCTCTAATTGCTTCTCCTTTTTTCCTTTCTGCTTCCAAGCATGTCTTTTGGACTGAAAACACAATATAAGCAT